CTCCAGTGCCCGCAGTACCTCCAGCTCGAGCAGCTCGCCTCCAGCGCAGGGCAAACCACTCATGCAGCTCCAGTGGAGAGAGAGGCTCCCGGCGAGAAGAAGGACCCGGAGAGCCGGCAGGAACAGCACCAGCAGGCTCAGCACCCCCATGCGTAGCACCCCCAGGCTCAGCACCCCCAGGCTCAGCACCCCCAGGCATAGCACCCCCGGGCTCAGCACCCCCAGGCTTAGCACCCCCAAGCGTAGCACCCCCAGGCTCAGCACCCCCAGGCTCAGCACCCCCAGGCTCAGCACCCCGAGAGGCAGCACCCCCAGGCCCAGCACCCGAAGCAGCACTAGAGTCACCAGTGACCTCGACAGGCTCAACAGCGTCTACCTGGGACACACCCGAAGGGGCAGGACCCTGAGGGGGCAGGGGGTCGACCGGGGGGGGACCTGGGACAAGGAAGAGCGGTGGGGGGGGGAGGGACGGAGTGCGGTAGGGGAAGAGCCGATAGTAGGGGACCGACTCGTCGAACATGACGTCCTGGGAGGACAGAACACGACGAGAGGTGGGGTGGTAGAACTGCCACACTGATGCGTCAGGGGGGAAACCCAGGAAGACGCAGGGAGCAGCACGAGGGGACAGCTTGTTCGCAGACAAGTCGCGGACAAACGCCCAAGATCCCCAGACATGGAACACAGACGCATCGCCAACCTTCCCCGTCCACAGCAGAGCTGGGGAGGTCTCCGGCATGGAGACCCTGGGCTGAAGGTTGATCTGATGCGCCGCGTACCGAACCGCAAACGGCCACAGAAAATGGGGGGCAGCCGCATGCATCATGGACGTATGAGCGACGTCCATGACCATGTCGATGCGGCGCTCAGCAATCCCATTCTGCTGTGGAGAGTCCGGAAGCGTGAAGGTCAGGCGGATGCCTCATGCACGACAGTAGGCTCGCAGAAGGCCAGAGGAGAACTCTCCGCTTCTGTCCGAGTGCAAACGCAGAACAGGAAAGTCCGAGCCGAAGCTCCGCCTAAGCTGGAGACGAGCTGCGCGGATCCAGTCGATCAACACCTCAGTGACATCACCCTTGCTGCGCAAGGGGAAGACTGTGGTGTAACGCGAGTAGTCGTCAACCACCAGCAGGAAGTAGCGCTCGTGACCCTGTCCACGGACGCGGGCTGAGCCCCACACGTCCATGTGAAGCGTCTGCAGTGGGGCCTCTGTCGGAGGAAACTGGGAGGAGTGGGGGGTAGCCCGCTGCCGTCCCTCAACACAAGGAACGCAGGTCGGGCCAGGCCCCGGAGGAAGGGGAGGGAGGGACTGGGGAAGACCAGAGACAAGGACACGGGAGGCCATGCTCCGGAGACGAAGCAGGGAGGAATCACCAAGACGATGGTGCCAGAGGAGAGTCTTGTGAGACAGGAGGCGACACGAGCAGGGGGCAGACTCAGGACCAGACCTGGACGCAGCAGCAAACACCTGACCGGACGCAGCTACCTGGCCAGAAGCAGGGACAGGAGGAGACTCAGTGGTGAGGGTGTAGAGACTGGACCCTGGCCGACGCGTAAACGTGGCCAAGTGTCGGCCTGTGTCCGCGTCCGTGCAGTGGGTCACCCGCTGGCGCGCAGGGGTGAACTGGTCAACCCCCCCATCCTGTAGGTCAGCACCCGCCACCAAGTTCGTAGAGAACGAGGGGAGGTAAAGGCCTGACAGGGAGCCAGACGGGACCGCAGGGCACGGAAGGACAGTGGAGTAGTGAGCCAGAACAGGACCCCCAGAGGGGTCTGCCAGGGAGACTGCAACTGGCCGACTAAGCGGCGTGAGTGTGGTGCGGTCTCGAAAGAAGGAGCGAGACGCCCCCGAGTCAAGTGTGAAGGTGTGGGAGGCCGGAGCCGACGCGGTACCTGAGAGAGCAGACTCACTAGCACGTGAGGAAGCAGACTCACTGGCACCTAGAGCAGCAGCCTCACCAGCACCTGGAGTAGCAGCCTCACCAGTACCTAGAGCAGTAGTCCCAATGCCCGGGTTGGGCGGGAAACACCGGTAATAGTCACCCTCATCACTAATAGTTACAGCATACATGGCACAAAGAATAGCATCAAAGTCAAGATCAAAGATAGCTACTCCTGCCCTAGACAGCTGGTCCCAGCGAGGGATCTCAGTGGCGTCAGGGAACTGGCGACGCCAAGCGTCAGTCAGGCGGCCAAAGCAGCGTTGGGTGGGGTGCAGACCCCCACACGGCTCACCCGCACGGTCGCCAGTGCGCAGGACGTAGGTGCACAGACCAGTACCCCCACCTCGCTGGCGTGCAGCGTACCACTCACGGAGCTACTGAGGGGAGAGGGTCTCCTGACTGCGCTGCTGCTGCTGGCGCTGAGGACCACCGGAGTCACTCCTCTGCGACGAGCCACGACCTCCTCCTCCTCCTCCTCCACCACCGCCTCCACCACCTCCGCCACCGCCACTACCTCCACTCCCACCACCGCCGCCGCCGCCGCCGCCGCCTCCGCCTCCACTGCCGCCACTGACACCTCCGCCCCCGCCACCACTCCCACCACCACCCCCACCTCCTCCGCTGCCTCCACCGCCGCCTCCACTGCCCCCGCCAGCTCCTCCAGCGCCCCTGCCCCCCTTGCCTTTGCCAGAGCGACGTCTCCCACTAGGGGCAGGCGCCGCACCGACCGACTCTAAACCAACGAGGTCGGTCGTAGCAGCAGAGGCAACGGAGGGCAAAAGGGGGGAGGGGGAACACCCCTCAAAGATGGGGGTGCGCAGGTCACCACGAGAGGCTCCTACAGCTAGTATGCTCTTCTCTGCTGCTAGGAGGGCCTTCTCAAGGAGGTCAACAATGAGAGTGGTGGGGCAGACTGAGACGAAGTGGTCCCTGACTACGCGAAGGGAGTCAGGGAGTCGGGTCACTATGTAGTAGAGGGTGATGTACATGGGGGGGGGGGGGTTCTTGGCGCAGAACTCAGCAGGAAGCGCAGCGCGGTAGCGAGTGTCACTAGTTTGGAGGTGTGTAATGAGGTCAGCGAATGTGGCAAAGGCAGCAAGGTCAGGGAAGAGGTACGGTAGCATGAGGCGGCTCAGTGCAGCAATGGCAGGGGAGGAGTAGCGTGCAACTACAGCATCGTACAAGGTCTGAGCACTCTTGTACTAGCTAAAGTGTGCACGCTCAGAGGTAGGCAGGTGGCGACGCACAGCAAGACGTGCAGCAGCATCGCGTATGGCCCACTGTGAGCGAACAGTGGCGTCAGCATCGGCAGCGGGGGCAGGGGAGGCACCAGAAGTGAGGTCAAAGAGGGAGAGGTCGTCTGCCCTATCGCACTGTAAGAAAAGCTGCAGGTCGTCTACCCAGACGTCAAAGTCAATGGCCCGACCCTTAGCGTCAAAAGTGAGGACACTGGGGGTAGCCATGACAGCAGTAGACTAGCAGCGCAGGCAGTGGGGTGAGGGCAGTGCTGAGAGAAAGGCGCTGCTCTTACCGGACAGGGCGGCTCGGGCGGCTCGGCTGCAGGGCGACTCGGCGGCTCGGCTGCTGGGCGGCTCGGCGGCTGGGCGGCTCGGCTGCTGGGCGGCTCGGCTGCTGGGCGGCTCGGCTGCTGGGCGGCTGGGTGGCTCGGCGGCTCGGCTGCTGGGCGGCTCGGCTGCTGGGCGGCTTGGCGGCTCGGCTGCTGGGCGGCTCGGCGGCTCGGCTGCTGGGCGGTGCGGCGGCTCGGCGGCTCAGCCGCTGGGCGGCTCAGCGGCTCGGCGGCTCGGCTGCTAGGCGGCGCGGCGGCTCGGCGGCTCGGCTACTGGGCGGCGCGGCTGCTGGGCGGCGTGGTGGGGCCGCAAGTAGAAGCGCGGGGGGCCGCACGTGTAGGTGGCGGGGCCGCACGAAGGAGCGGGGGCCGCACGTAGGAGCGGGGGCCGCACGTAGGAGCGGGGGCCGCACAGGTAGGTGGCGGGGCCGCAAGTAGGAGCGCGGGCCGCACAGGTAGGTGGCGGGGCCGCAAGTAGGAGCGGGGGCCGCACAGGTAGGTGGCGGGGCCGCACAGGTGGCGGAGCCGTCAAAGGTAGGTGGCGGGGGGCCGCACAAGTAGGTGGCGGGGCCGCAGGCGGCTGCAGGAGCCGGTAGGCGCGGCGCGAGGGCCGCGAGGGTGGGGCGACGAGGTCGCAGGGGCGGCGCGACGAGGCCGCGAGGGCGGCGCGACGCGGCCGCGAGGGCGACGCGACGAAGCCGCGAGGGTGGCTCGACGGAGTCGCGAGGGCGGCGCGAAAGGGCCGCTAGGGCGACGCGACGGGGCCGCTAGGGGTCGAGAGAGGGGGAGCGCGACTCGGGGAGGAGAGGAGGGCGCTCCGGGCAGGAAAACAAATGCGGTGGGCCCTAAGAACAGTTCCCACGAGGGAACCTCCTCGATACCAGCTCAGAATAGGTAGCGTGAATGGATTGAACTATGAATCAAAACAGAACAAGTACCAACCCTAATTGGGTTGTACCCCTTATGGGCTACCCCACTACAGCCTACACAACATGCATCAGCTATAATAATCTGACACTCCTCTCTCCCCTGGTGGCCCCTTTCTCAAAACAGGCTGCACAGGCAACATGTCTCTCCAGCTCCTCAGAAACCTCATCTCAAAGCCAACTGCCCTTATTCGTTGCACTATTCTTACCTGTATCCAGAGCTGTTTTCAGAATACATTGGCATTGAAACAAAAATTACAGATACAGAAGCAAACAACAAAAATTAAGCATCCAATTTCCAGCCACAAAGCAGATCGGCACGGGAAGCGAGCAGTCCAGAATCCTGCATCATGTATTATGCTCACCCCTTGGGCTGGATGGCCAACCCATGCATTCCCCAACATCTTCAAAAATACTTGTTTAAACTAAATCTATTTAACTAAATATCTTGCGCGTGCCACTTACCATCTAGGTGCAATGCGTCATGCATGCAACGCATTTGATGATTGATTGTTGAGGCTGTTTGAGGAGTAGGAAGCATGTAAGTGCACCACATGCGAACTTAGTCTACACCTTATCAGCAACACCTGGTTGGTAACCAGCATTAGGCTTGTACTGGTCTCCAGCTGGGTATGACCCCATGGCTGGATAGCCTGTTGCTGCTGCAGATGAAGGATATTCCACCTCAATGTCTGGAAAAGGGCACGAAAAGAAGGCCAGGTGAATGGATGTGTTTTACATAAGAGCTTAAGGAAAGAAGCAGATTGGCGGACCAAAGCACGTAGGACTGAATGTTGGCTTGTTGATATGACAGAGTAAGGCAACAAGTGTTGTGAATGTACATTCATACACATTTCCACTGTTTTGGATTGTGAATAAGGAGAAAGGAGAGATAAAGGGGTTACGGAAGGTGAGGAGAACCAAAAGGGGGAAACGAAGAAAGGTGGGCAAGGGTGGAAAGAGCAGTACGCAAGGGCTTCAAGCTTTGAAAGGAGTGATTTTCTTCCGAGATGTTCCGAGATGTTGTTCACTGATGAGCTCACCTTCTGTCTTCTTGCAACACTGAATAATGATGAACACGACTGCAACGGCGCCAATGACCACCAGAATCACCCCCACCACAATCCCCACGATTGCTCCAGTGGACATGCCAGAGGAGGAAGAAGAGGCTGTGCTGTTGGCATTAGAGGAGCTCTGCACACTGTTGTCGATGATGTTGGTGGTGCTGCTGCTGGTACTACTAGTGCCCGAGGATGTGGGGTCGGTTGGGTTAGAGGTCCCATTACCAGGAGGAGGAGTGGAAGGAGGGGATAAAGAAGGAGGCGCAATGGAGGGGGGTGTGTACGGAGGCTCATAATCGTCGATTGGGGGGGATTCGGAAGATGGTGCAGCAGAGGAAGGTGCAGCAGAGGAAGGTGCAGCAGAGGAAGGTGCTGCAGAGGAGGTTTCAGCAGAAGGGGGTGCTGCAGAGGAAGGTGCAGCAGACGAAGGGGCTGCACACAAAGAACACAAGAAGAGGGGGGGATATTCCCATTAGACACTCTCAAGTATTCGGCCATTCAAATTTTCAACATGCAGCACTTCAGTTTGAAACATGAAATTTCAACATACGGCCATTTGAAAATTATCAATTATGAAGATGCAGTTTGAAAAAGAAATTTCAACATACTAGCTTTGCCCAGGTTGAAGGATAGCTAATCTGGGCTGATCAATTTTGCATGAAACAGGGAGTTCAATAGGCGTTACGAAGTAGGAGTGGCAGAAAGCCAGCTCACCTGCAGGCGGGGAGATACAGGACTGGCAGAAAGACTGGCAGGCGATGCATAACCGCCTCCGTGAAAGGAGGACTGCTCTCGGACATTTCATAACTGGCTTCGTGAAAAGACAGCTCACCTGCAGGCGGGGAGATGCAGGACTGGCAGAAGGAATAGCAGGCGATGCAGAACTGGCTCTCGAGCGACTGCTCCACCACACAGTCAGTGCTGTTGGGACATTGCACTGTGAAGTCATACTCCCTGGTGGGGCATGCAGGGCGTGATTAGATATAAATGGACTTAGATGGAGTGAGGTGGGTCAGGTTCAGAGCAGCTGTTTATTCGAAATGCCCCTAGACACAATTCTTGTGCACCAAGGTTGAGCGGAGCAACATAAATCCTGAGTAGATCTATGGTTCTGGCATGCTTGGTCTGGTTGGTCTGATGCTGGCAGCAATGGCAGAGCAATGAGAACAAAAGTAACTCCAGTGATGCACATGGTCAGCACTAGAGAGCAAGCCATGTAGGTGTGCGGTGCGTATGACCGGAGCAGGTTGGCAACGTATGCACAAATGTGAGGTCTGTTTCTTATAGAGTGCTTCATGCTTTGGTTAAATGACTCCCTTAGGCGACTCCCTTGTAGCATGAGCGTTAAGATAGTTTCTTACAGTTCACTTTTCAGCTGGCTCGAAAGTCACTTCAAGCATGAGCGATTCCCTTTAAGGTAGTTTCTTACAGTTCATCGAGGTTGAGTGCGCCAAGGGTGGCCGGCAGGGATCCCGTGAGGTAGTTTCCTTTGATGCCACTGCAATGGTGCGCGGATGGCATGTCGATGTCATTTGGATGGCATGTGGATGGCATGTGGAAGGCACGTGAATGGAATGTGGATGGAACGGCACGTGGATGGCCTGTGGATGCCATGTGAATGGGATGTAATATGTGGTTGAAATGTGGATGGCACATGGGTTGAAATGGTGGCGGTGTGATTGTGTCAGATTCGTGCCTAGAAAAATGACCGGATATGCCAAGCATCGAGTCGTGACAGTTGTGAATGTTACAAGGGAGGTGAGTGTTATAATCAGCATGCACACACTCGGTTATGTGCATGCATAATTCATCCACCTGCATGCATACATTCAGCTTTATGCACGGAAACACTCAGCCATTTGCGTGTAAGAAACTCAGCCATCTGCATGCAAGAACTCAGCCATATGCATTTAAACTCTCAGCCATATGCATGTAGACACTCAGCCATATGCATGTAAACACTCAGCCATATGCATGTAAGCACCCAGCCATATGCATGTAAGCACCCAGCCATTTGCATGTAAGCACCCAGCCATATGCATGTAAGCACCCAGCCATATGCATGTAAGCACCCAGCCATATGCATGTAAGCACCCAGCCATTTGCATGTAAGCACCCAGCCATATGCACGTAAGCACCCAGCCATATGCACGTAAGCACCCAGCCATATGCACGTAAGCACCCAGCCATATGCATGTAAGCACCCAGCCATATGCACGTAAGCACCCAGCCATATGCATGTAAGCACCCAGCCATATGCATGTAAGCACCCAGCCATATGCATGTAAGCACCCAGCCATATGCATGTAAGCACCCAGCCATATGCATGTAAGCACCCAGCCATATGCATGTAAGCACCCAGCCATATGCATGTAAGCACCCAGCCATATGCATGTAGACACCCAGCCATATGCATGTAAGCACCCAGCCATATGCATGTAAGCACCCTGCCATATGCATGTAAGCACCCAGCCATATGCACGTAAGCACCCAGCCATATGCATGTATACACCCAGCCATATGCATGTAAGCACCCAGCCAAATGCATGTAAGCACCCAGCCATATGCATGTAGACACTCCGCCAAACGCATCCATATGCATGCATACGCACAGATAGGTAAGGAGAGGGAGCTCCCCCAAAAAGGCCGGCACGGAGCCCACAAAGTTGTTGTATCGAAGGCTCCTGTTCGCTCGCAAGTGGTTGGTATAGACGCACATGTGATTGTAGGTTGGTATAGACGCACATGTGATTGTAGGTTGGTATAAACGCACATGTGTTTGTAGGGAAGGGACGGTTATGGAACGTCATGCCGTATGAGTTGATGGGAAGTAAATTAGAGGAAGCTCTTCCAGAAAGGCCGGCATTGATCTGACCAGGTTGTTGTATCTAAGGCTTCTGTTTTCGCGCTTATCTAAGGTTGTGTAAGCCATGGATGGTGAGGCCACAATTTTGGACAAATAAATGGTCATGTTGCTGCTTATCCATGTAATGCCAAGGTCATGAGTTGCTGAGGGAATACGGAGTCCCCTTGAGGCAAGATGGGTGCAACCATTCAACAACCCGTGGACTACCCTCTAGTCGATAATCTAGAAATACCATTTGAAATGCGTGAAGATCCAGGAAGAGCATGAAACTCGATTTTTGAGTCGACTCAGAAATCGTGAAGATCCATGATGCGCATGAAACTCACAGCATTTGAAGTCCTGTGAGAGCACTCATCCCTGAAGGAATGGAGCCGTTGATCTGTGAGTTGTAGAAGCTTCTGATGGGGGTAGTCATGCCATCAAAACAAGTGGTGTAGATGGGTTAGGAGGGGCACACTCATGTGAAGGCACATGGATGAAGGTGCAATCCATGAGGTATGATGCTGGACAAAACGGGGCAAGAGAGAAGATACCACTAGACGGCATGTTTATCCACGTATGCCTTAAAAAAAAAAAGGTTATAAGGTGACAATATGGGGTTGGATGCATGCGAAAAGGCTTGCATTTCGAGGATAAAAGGCTTTTCGAGAAGGGCTCAAAGCTCCACGAGATTGGTGAGAGCAGAGACGGTGCGGGGTTTTTAAGGTGCCTCAATACTCTTTCCTTGAAAGCGAAAAAGAGCAAGAGAGCGTGACTTGCAGAAGACTTACAGCTCTACTAGGTTGGTGAGAGCAGAGATGGTGCTGGGGATGGTGTTGCCTGTGCGGTTGTTGCTTTTCAAGTTCCTGGTTGTCGGTGAGGGGGTGGGGGGAGATTAAAGGAAGTGGGAGAATTGGGAGGGGCATACACATGCAAGTGATGTGCATGACACTGGGTTTGCATGGCAGGGGGTGTGCACGGCACGTGATGCCAGTCATGCTGGGTGTGGATTGTGTACGATGCTGGTTGCCCTTGTTTGTGGGGGAGGAGGTGTTGTCACGAATCTTCTACACGCACTGCCCATGCAGCGGACCATCACATGCAGCGGACCATCACATGCAGCGGACCATCACATAGAGCGGACCATCACATGTAGCGGACCATCACATGCAGCGGACCATCACATGCAGCGGACCATCACATGCAGGGTACCATCACATGCAGGGTACCATCACATGCAGGGTACCATCACATGCAGGGTACCATCACATGCAGGGTACCATCACATGCAGGGTACCATCACATGCAGGGTACCATCACATGCAGGGTACCATCACATGCAGGGTACCATCACATGCAGGGTACCATCACATGCAGGGTACCATCACATGCAGTGTAACATCACATGCAGTGTACCATCGTATGCAGCATGCAACCTCATGCATTGAACCAACAAGTGCTGCTTACCATAATATACAGATCACGCAATCTTTTGTTCGCACAGATGCTTACAAGATTCGAAGATTCGTCAGCTTCCCAATGCTGTCTGTCAGCGGGCCAATCGCGTTACCCTCCAGCGTCCTGCAGGGGGTGTGGTTGGCAAAGAGTATTGTTTAGTGTTTTTTGGCATAAAATAACCTGTCGTTCGTACTATACTGTAGCTCAACAGGTGCTTATCATTAAACCGAGGGAGTTTAGAAAGCCCTTTTTCGGCACATCAAAGGCAGATTTATGACGGCTTAGTGAGATTGTTGAGTCTGGATTGGGATTCAAGGAGCGAGGGGCGCGTGTGGCGTGTGGCGTGTGGCGTGTGGTTGGGGTGAGGGGTGCGTGTCATGTGCAGATTGCTTACAGCTCAGTGAGATTGTTGAGTTTGGACAAGGAGTCCGGGATGGACCCAGTGAGCTTGTAGTCCACTCCATCCCCAGATATGATCCTGGGTAAAAGAAGGAGTAACAGTGGCGATGAGACTTGGGAGGAGAGGTAGCTGGAGAAAGCGAGACAGAGAGAAGGAGAGGGGTGGAGAGGGATAGCGAGGGAGAGAGAGGGAGAAAGAGGGAGAGAGATGGAGAGAGAGGGAAAGAGAGGGAGAGAGAGGGAGAGAGAGGTAGAGAGAGCTAAAACGATCATTGAATAGTTTTCACCCCTAGGGTTATTAACCCTGAGCGTGATTTTCAGCAACTGCAACCAAGGGCGCATGAGAGTGCCTCACAGGTACTGCAGGCTTGACATGTTGCCAAAGGACTCGGGAATGCTGCCGTTCTCTATTTTATCAATCTTCCTGTGAAGGTAGTGGCGTGGCAGGTGGGGAGTGGCACGGGGGGATTGGAATGGAAGAACAGAGAGCATCAAAGAGCAGGGCTGATAAAAGGGCAGAACTAAGCATGAAGGAGCGGCATGCATGAAGCAACATTGAGCGTGAAAGTGAAGAAAAAGAAGGGAATTATACACGGATAAGAGACAAAAATCGAAGAGAAACAGGGAACAGAAACATACAGCCCTTGCAGGTTTACAAGGCTGCCCAAGCCAGAAGGGAGACTGCCTCCAACATCCGCAGTGCCAAGATACCTGCCACCACAACAGATGAGCTTTTGAGACCACGGTTTCTCAGAAATCCGTCATGATGATCGGCCATGGAGTAGAAGAGGATGAAACGAAGAGGTTGAAACGAAGAGGATGAAACGAAGAGGATGAAACGAAGAGGATGAAACGAAGAGGATGAAACGAAGAGGTTGAAACGAAGAGGATGAAACGACGAGGTTGAAACGAAGAGGATGAAACGACGAGGTTGACCCGAAGAGGATGAAACGACGAGGTTGAAATGAAGAGGTTGAAACGAAGAGGATGAAACAAAATTGCGTCTTTGCTCTCTCCCTTAATCAATATTTCATATACCTCTTTCTTTTCTTCATCCTCAATCGACCCCTTCCCCCCTCTTGTCGACTCCCTCTCTACCAGTCTCCCTCTCTCCCCCTCTCATCCTTCTCTCTCCCTCTCAAGCACTCTCAACCTCTTCCTTACAGGCTTGTGAGCCGAGAGAGGCCACTAATGGCGTTTGGAATGGTGGGAATGCCGAGCATAGGGGACCTGTATCAGGGTATTTGGAAGGGGGGGGGGGAGCAAGGGGTCAGTGGGGAGGTGGAGAGAAAGGGTGGAGAATACTCCTCTTTTTTCAGACGACTCCAAGACCATGTCTAACATAAGGCTGCATCGAAAGCAGGACTGAGTGACGGAGTTCACGTGCGAACCACTGCTATGTGGTGAACGAAGAGGGAGTTGTGCAACACGAAACGAAATGTTTAAATTATCATGTTGTGCAACTTTAATCTGCTGCTTACTGTAGGGAGATTATGTATCCCTCAGCATCGCAATCCCGATAATAGCTTGAGGTGCAGTCCCGATCGGAAATGAGGGTAACGCCCCATGCCGTCTCTAATGCCTCCAAAAAAGGGACTGGTTGAGTGGGTTGTGAGAAGGCGGGGGATTGGCGGGATTAGATTTTTGGGCCGTGCACAATGTAGTGCGAGCATGATGCTTTGCACGCAATATGTCAGCAATGAACATGGTATTATGTACTTTCTTTTCTCTGCAGGATCATACCTGAAAATGACTCGTTATCACAGCTTGAGCTAAATTGTGTCGTATTTGTTATTAGTGTTTTCTTGTAGGTGATGGCCGCACAACTCACTTATGCAACGCCAGTGGCGTTAGATTACTTCTAGTACTACTACTCACTCTGCGACGGGTGTATGAACGGCAGCGCTGCTACAAGCCGTTGGTCGCAGGAGTGGAGAAGGAAAAGGAAGAGGAGGAGAAGACCAGAGGCTGGCGTGGTTTTAGGTAACATGGCCATCGCACGTTCGCCCGACATAGGATTTGAAGTGCGTACTAGTATGAGTCTGAAATGCTAATGGAGTCTTGATTGGCGAGGTAGGTAGGCGATGAGTTAGAATGTAGGCGTCGGGCGTTTGTGCTGTGGGTTGAGTCAAAATTTTATACATTCAAATTTTCAAGGATGGGGGAGAAAGTATGTGAAAAGAATATTCCCGCCTCGTTCAGTGTGGTGTGGTGTGGAATTTTTTTACATGCTTTGAATCCTTGCCCAGCGACAGCGAGGAAAAGTGTACGCGTCAGCATTAGCTGAATCAATGACACGGCGTTGAATGCAGGCGCGGTCAACGCGCTCCAGCACTTCCTCTTCGGAGTCAAAGCTAGTCATCATCGTGTTTCGCAATGGTCTTCCTGGGTCCTTGTGGTATCTGACAGGTTACCCAGTCGTTCCACCCAAGAACGCAAGTAACGTGCGGGGAACAATCGCAGACGCGAACTTCGTCAGACTAGGCGTGGAATTCGTAGTTCGTGATGGATCACGAACGAATCTGAAGTAACTGTTTTCGCAAAGCTGTCAACGCTATCGCACGTTGTCGGCGATTCACTAATGAAATTCGGGATAAGGGCGTATCAGAGAAACGCTAACGGGGTTTTTAGTCGCGATGACTTCTGTCCAGTTTGCCCCAATATTTGACACTTTTGTTCTGTACACAAACCTGAACGGCCACCCAAATATCGTTAGGGCGTGTAACATTGTTGCGACCGAGGCCAAAATCCGACCAATTGGTCGTTGTATTCGACTTGCGAGGGTTGTCTGAACAAACACCTGGGGCGTCTGCTGTAAATTCAAAATGAACATGGTTTTTGTTGAGGTCGAATTTACAGGTTTGGGGTTTCGGGTTGTTCATCGAAATTGTTCGCGACACTATGAAGAGTCACCAGCTTTCGGTGCGAAACCAGACGTGCACATAACGAAAGGTGACCAAAAATGTTGCGACAGGGCAGGGCTGTTTTTGTGTCTAATTTGGTCGCACGTATGGTTTTTCATTTGGGGCGATTCCCGACATGGTCATTTATGCAGTCGTTTTTTCAGAAAATCTCGCATTCATCGCCATCGTGTACCCCCTTCGCTCCGCTTGAACCGACCAAATGGTCTGATTTCGGCCTCGGTCGCTCAAATGTTACACGCCCTTAGGCTGGTTTTCCCGCCCCATTCACGTTCAGGGTTTCGAGTCCAAGCCAAGTCGGTACTTCAACTGTCACGAACGATGGACGAAATACGTAGCGAACGTAATGTGGCTTCGTCCTGCGCTGGTTACCCTTGAAAGAAATCATTTCTGACGGAAGAGTTCATCTCTCTGTTCTTGTTGTCAATGTCAGAACATTATAGCTTATGCTGTTGTGTAGGCTGTAGTGGGGTATCCCATAGGGGGTACAACCCAATTAGGGTTAGTACTTGTACCCACTTCTTCCATAATTCATCCATTCTCGTTTCAGTTTTCTCATGGTATCGAGCAGGTTCCCTCGTGGGAACTGTTCCTAGGGCCCTACTACTGCTTCCGCTGCTACTCGATCTGTCGCACGCCCCGTGGCGTGCGACCTATTTTGGCGCGCGGCGATCTTCTTTCTGGCGCGCGCCCCGAGGCGCGCGGCCCCGCTACCCCGTCGCGCCGCCCTAGCGGCCGCGTCGCGCCGCCCTCGCGGCCCCGATCCGCCGCCCTAGTGGCCCCGTCACCTACCCCTGCGGCCTCAGCGCCGCCCTTCCCGGCCCCGGCTCCGCCCTTCCCGACCCCGGCGCCACCTCGGCTGGCCCCGTCGCCTACCCCGGCGACCCCGACGCCACTCTTCCCGACCCGGCCCCGCCTCTGCTGGCCCCGTCGCCTACCCCTGCGGCCCCGGCGCTGCCCTTCCCGGCCCCGGCGCCGCCTCTGCTGGCCCGGTCGCCTACCCTGCGGCCCCGGCGCCGCCTCTGCTGGCCCCGTCGCCGCTCCACCCGGCCACGCCGCCGTCCCCAAGCGGCCCCGCCGTCACCACCGAGCCGCCGGCGCCGCCGACCTAGTGCCGAGCCGCCCGAGCCACCCGAGCCGCCGAGTCGCCGAGCCGCCGAGCTGCAGTTGCTGCCGAGCCGACGTACCGCCGAGCCGCCCGAGCCGCCGAGCCGCCAAGCCGCCCGAGTCGCCTGAGCCGCCGAGCCGCCCGAGTCGCCCGAGCCGCCGAGCCACAGTTGCTGCCGTGCCGCCGTGCCGCCGAGCCGCCCGAGCCGCCCGCACCGCCGAGTCGCCGAGTCGTCGAGCCTGCTCTTCCCACCACTGGTGAGCCCCTGCCTTACTACTTGGCTGCCTGCCTTACTGCTGCTACTCCTGCTCTTGCTTCTACTGGCGGAGCCAGATGCAGCCCCAGCGACGTCCAAGAGTCCCTCTCGCCCCAGCAGCTGCGTGAGTGGTACGCTGGTTGGGGTTGTAGGGGTGGTGGCGCTACTACTGCTACTACTACTGGCGACGGCCAGATGCAGCTCTAGCGACGCCCATGCGGGTCTCTCACGCCCCAGCAGCTTCGTGAGTGGTACGCTCAGAGTAGAGGGTCTCTCAGTTCTGTTCGCTGCTCTTACGTGATTTGCACTGGTGCTCGGACTGGTCAGCCTTGTGGGACGCCTAGTCACACACAGTCACGCTGCTTCGCCCGTCTGAGCGACGCCTGGCGTACCGAGTTTGGCGACAAGGCTGAGCTCCCCGACTGGGTGGAGTTGCTTAGGCAGAGGGTAGATATATTTGCTCTTGACTATGATGCTATTCTCACTGCCATGTATGCTTTGCCTACTAGTGCTGACCGTGCCGGTCAGCTGTGCGTACCGCCTGACCCAGGAATAGAGCCTGCTGCTCTAGCTGCTGGTGAGGCTGCTGCTTTGGGTGCTAGTGAGTCTCCTGCTCCAGGTACAGGTGCGGCTGCTGCTCTAGGTGCTAGTGAGTCTGCTTCCTCAGGTGCTGGTGAGTCTGCGCTCTCAGGTACTGCGTCGGCTTCGGCCTCCCACACATTCACACTTGACTTGGGGGCTTCTCGCTCCTTCTTTCGAGACCACACCACACTCACGCCGCTTGGTCGGCCAGTTGCAGTCTCCCTGGCAGACCCCTCTGGGGGTCCTGTCCTTGCTCACTTCTCCACTGTCCTCCCGTGTCCGGCGGCCCCCTCTGGCACCCTGTCTGGTCTTTACCTCCCCTCGTTCTCTACGAACTTGGTGAGTGGTGCTGACCTACAGGATGCGGGGGTTCACCAGTTCACTCCTGCGAGCCAGCGGGTGACCC